CGTCTCGGTTGACAAGCCTTCCATCCCGCAGGGCCTGATCACACATCACTCATTCAAAATTCCAATACTCTTCTTAATGCGCAGGAAGCTTCAACGTTTTGAACGACGCCGTTCTAGAGCTCTAGGATGTGCGCACGTGAGGTCTCAGGATATCTGTTAACCGCGGAGCCTTCCTCCTCCTTCTCTTTCCTTCCTTCCTTTCTTCGCTCATCCCTCTTTCTAATTTCCCCTCCTCTGAACCGACCAGAAGTGCGATGAGAAAACACCTCTATACCCTCGCAGCGAGTGAGCATTCGGTTGTCTTGTAACTGATTGTGAGTAGAGTCAAGCGCTGCGTCAAAACTTTTTCCTTCGATAGGGCCCTTCCCCCAGTTTCCTTCGTAATTTGGCGCACCCCATAGTCCATATAACCGTGAGGGAGGAAGGTTCGGATGTCTTGAGACGAGTTCAGTTCTACAGCTTGCGTTCGTGGAATTTGGCGTCGCTAGTAATTACATCGGATCCTCACTTGTTTTTTATGGGCCCAGCCACTAAAAAAGACCACGATTCGGCGAGTAGGAATAAAACCAGTTTCCCCTGCGGAACCCTCGACGTAAGTTCAATAGAATGAGAAAAAAAACCCGGTTAGCTCGAAAAAAGAGCACGATTGAAGTTCCGACTACGCTGTGAAAAAAAAACACGGCGTTCCTCAGAGGATGGCACTGAAATGTTCAGATAGATTGATCTAGAGACATAGACTAGATCGGTGCGGATGAACCGAGGGGTGACAGGAGGCTGGTTTGGCGCGGTGCCAGCCCGTTCTCCACTAATTGTGGAAGCAAGCGAGCGACAGCAATTGGTGGAAAACAGGCAGGTAGCGCGTCAAACCCAGCCCCCCCCCCTGACAATCTCCAGCATCCACAGCAAACAGGAGTTTATTACGTCCTACGTCCTCCTCCGTTAAGGATTACGTCCCAGAACAAAAGAATGGCAAAAGCAAACTTTTTGAAGCAGCTGTCAGCCTTTGGAGGGTCCCCGAGGTTAAGATTGCTTGCTAGCTTTCAAAAAGCATCGATGGCATTTTTGTCTTCATGATGGATGTGACGCGTAAAATACCGGGCGTTTTTACCCATTTGCGCGAGGGATAAAATCTTTAACCAGTTAGCCCCACATTGTCTGATGTCTTTTGAAACAGATACCTCCTAGCAGCAGTAAAGCCGCGCATAGACCTACGTTGTTGTCCAGTATGACGTCCTCACTTGCCCTAGCGGCGTTATATCAACGAAATGACCGGAAGTCGTACCTTTAGCGTGGAGTAGAACTTATAGAATACCGTTTTCTCCTGCTGGGAGAGATCAAAGATGGTTGTCCGTTCACCAAGGCTGCTCTTTGCAAGATATCACTATTCGCTAACCAGCAGACTGTCACGTGGGAGATCCTTCCATGCCGAGAAAGACCGCAATCTGGTAGCTGAGGAGGCGGTGCGCATTCGGCGGTTTTTTTCAGGTTGGCTTGATACCTCCACTCACTCTTCCCAACGGTTTAGTTTCTGGATGAAGGAGGAGTGGGTTCTATCACAGAAGACACGAGCTTAGGGATCGTATTTTTCAGGGAGTTTCCTCCAGAAACGGGCATTAAATTCCGGCAACATCAGTTCTGGGTCCTTGTCCGCGCCGATGACGTCCAACAAGGAGATGAAGCGCTTGGTTGATTGCTTTCAGAGAGATTTAATCCCGATGCTCATCCCTCGATCTGCTCAGATAGATTAGTCCTAAACCATAGTGCCTAAAGAACCAATAGCCAATAAATATCGTCTTCCCCGGAATCAAATTCTCTCCTTCCCCTTGTTTTTGGCAGGCTATTTGATGCCAATAAGTAGTTCAAGACTTGTTCTCAAGTAGTTGGCCAGGCCGAAAGCCACATATTAGCCTCCTCGGTATTAGCCCCGAACTTTTCCACTCCCTTCTTTAGCGGCCGTACGAACGATACTGGGACGCCGTGGAGTAGTGCTCAAGCAGAGTTCTGGTGATCATGGTCCCGAGGCCGCTTCCAGTCGCTCTGTCTTTTGTGCTCTGGCCTCCTCATCCTGCCCGTGCTAGTGCCCATTTCTTGCTGAACTCGTCCAAGCCCTACGAACTCGCTGCGGGCTTTAATTGGGCAGCCGTCGAAGGTTCATCAGCCCTTATCTTTCACAGTGAGCCATTATCAACTACGAACTCATACACGGGTTAAAAAATCGCGAGTTGTAGATGCGAATCCTGTCTTTCAGTCCACTGCGCTTAGAAGCTGCGTTCTAAATTCATGAGAATGATTCACAAAGCAATCACTGCGTCCAAAACGAAAGGGCAACTTTTACTCAGAATTACTTCAATTTCAAGTTTACTGAGCCTTTCTAGAAAAGGAACTTGAGAAAATCCATAACTAACTGTTAGAGAACCGTGAACATATTATACAAAACACACCCAGAACACGTAAAGATCGATTAGGCGTAACTTGTATGCATGAAAATATATATGACGAGAAGAACAGCAGTATCACAAACATGAAGTTAATTAGTTGCGAGTGCTATGGCTATACATATTTAGAATACGAGATCAGAAAGAGTCAAAATCAAAAGTTATTGAGAAAAAAAAATGCTGGGCTGCAGTACAAGAGTCGATATCACAAAAGACACACAGTGCCATATAATCACACATAACAAAAAACTCTTGTAAAATAGAGCTAAACTAAGCTTTGAAAATATCAAACATGGGGCAAACTGAGAAAATGTGCATGAACAACGTCTTCTAGTACGCTAGACTTTTCCTCACGGAGCTGTGGCGGTTCCGTGTCAAAAAATATTATCTGTAAAAAGTTAATTTAATAGTTCGAAAAAAGCGTGTTTATATAGCGTATAGCGTTTTTTTATGTAGTGTTTATATATTTTTATGTTCTGGGCACTAATATGTGACAAGACAACTGTGAATCACCGCGCGGTGGGCGTCGCGTGCGACGTCGCGCCCGCAAATAATGACGTTTCTGAGCCGCAGTTGACGACAGTCGAAATGTATAAGCAAGGTAGGTCACAAATGTCTGCGATGTTGTAGTCAACAAGGGGTCGATGCTCCGAACGAAAGGTTGATCCGAAATAAGAAAACACCGCTCCCATCGCCGCGCGCGACGGAGGGGCAAATTATGGTTGTTTTGACCGTCTCCGGGGCTTAGGTAGCTGGGAGTGACCATGCGCCGCGGCTCATCTTGCGGACTACGTTTACGACTTATAAGGCTGAATCTGAAGCTAGGGAGGGAGGGGCGGGGTCACTATCTCAGCGGAAGAGGGCAGGGCAGCGCGTTCGGTCGCGCTGTCTCATTGCTCCTCCCAACAACAAGAACCATATTCTGAATACATAGACTATGGAGACTTCAGCACAAAAATAAACAGCAAAGTATGGCGCTAATATCCTGGGCCGAAGCATTGAGTAGCTTATATGCAAAACCATAATTACCTCCTGGGGATGGCATTGCAGTACCTGAAACTGATTCCCCTATCTAGGAGCTTTCTTTTATCTATCTTAAACGTCTTCATCTGTCTCCGTTGCAGTAATCCCAACTTTGAAGGATGATTCCTCTACATGTTCCCCTTCCCCCACTCCATAGGGTAAGCGCCAAAATCACCATCACTAAAACTAACCAAGTGATCATCTCTCGTCATAGCACTCTGGGCCGTTAGCATGGTCTCGTGCAAGAAAATTTTTCGAATGTGATGTCCGTCATTTCGACTCTGAAGTGAATAAGACTTCTGCAACGAATCTGCACTCCAGTTGTTAACAGCAGCGATTACTACTAAAATAATGAAAAAAACAACTTACAAACACGTAAAAGTGCTGAGGACGAGGAATGGTTGGGACCGGATCAGCATCAAAATCACACTGATTCGACTGCACTTCTTCCATGACACGTAAATGTATGAATTCCGCCAGATGTTCCACTAAAACGGCGGAATGCATATAGAAGAACATCAGCTGTTCAAATTAATAAACTTATTGAGATGCAACGGCAATATGACTGCATTACTAATCAGGGGAACGTAAATCGACCAAAATGTGATAATGCTACTGCAAATCCCTGGTGAGGGAGTTCAAAAATGAAAGAGTATGTGGTAGTTAAGTTTCGAATGACCTCAGAAATTGAACTGTAATCGAATTGTCGGAGAATTTCAACAAATCTGCAAAGACTAACTTGTGGTGTCGTGCTTTGTCCTAATATACCGCGGAGCTGACAATTCTGCAGGGCATTGTCGGCGAAGTAGTGCAGCCGACGGTAACAGCTCCGCTTCGATTTCATCCATACCAGACATTGGAGGATCCAACATGTCAGCGTCATCCGTCTTGAAAACAACAATTTTGAATTGTAAACCTTGCTAGTGTAGTATATGGGGACCTTTTGTTAATTTCCGGTGACATATCGCACCACTTTATTTATAAAACCCATGTAAACTCTTGTAAAGCCACAAAATCTTACAAGCAGCTTTTATAGACATTTTCCCTTTTTTCTTACGCTGGACGTCATCAGTGTAAGGTCTGAGGAAACAGTTTGAGGTCAGGTCGATAAAGATTTAGTCCCAGAATTCTGTCCCTTCTCCTGAGTTCGAGCGGAAAACTCCCACTCGTGTTTCATAATGCCTTCCTTGCAAAATTATTTTCTAATCCATGTTTGATATTTCCGAATAATTCCATAATAACACAAGTTTGTTTTTATCTCGAACGCCTAAATTGACTTCGAAAAAGAAAGAAAATTGAAAAATAAATCAGAAAATGGAACCGGAAATCACAGTATTCAATGCTACCCCAAAACATTAACTGCCATGAGAGAAGCTTTGACAAAAAATGCTGGTAAGAACTAACCCTTCTTTGGAGAGGATCATTCATATTTTCCTCCGGAAGATGAGGTGATGATGGATTTTCGTCAAGCCATTGATTGAGTCTTTCTTTTGGATGAAGAACCGAGACCGGCGGTTGTATTTCTAGAGCAGTATTTGAGCTATGCTGTGATTCACTCGTCAACGGTGATAAATCGGAAGTATTTGGATTCAAACTTGTAATAGTAGTTTGAGCCGTATCGTCACTGTTCGCCAGTACCATCGGAGGTGTAACACTCTGTAACATTTCCTTGAAGATCCCCACTGCTGACACAAATATCACCGATAAAACGACTGCGGCAGAAAACTGCAGTAGCGGCTGCGTTCATACTTTATGAAAGGGGAATAGGAAAATCGATAAATCGACCTCGTTTGGAGAACGCGCGTTTTCTCTGAAACGACAAATCGCTAGCGACCTCTGCCGATCAATACCCACGCACTCCTTTGGCGCGTCTTCTCCCAAAACGTCAATTTGCCGATTCTCGCTTTTTACCGCCGTAAAGCATGAACACAGCTTAAGTGAGATTACCACATCCTGTACGTCTCAAACAGAGCAACACAAGAAACAAACGCTGACTTCTACTCCGGGAGTTCCATTGGGGCTTCCATTAACGAATGTTTGAGGTGGAGGAGCATCGTCGCTACAATCAGAAATGGAGACAGAAGAAGAAGGTAGCGAAGAATCGAGTGATGATGCACCAGAGCTGCTATACGTTGATGAAGTAGAGTCAGCTTAATGAAAATTCGGTGATAAATAGGGATAATAGCAACTCCGATTTAAACCAACTTACTGTCATCATCACTCTTTGATTCTTGTTCTATATCCTCGTTTTCCTCTATTTCCACTTCCTCTAACTCATCAAGTTCAGCTTGCAACTCTTCCTGTAAATACAGATCAGTTGTTGAAAACTGTAAATGTCCACCACCAAACCAAGCGTATCCACCCCACAACAACAATCACCTCCGTCTTTTCGTAGGCCAATGTTGCAGAATCATATCCAATCTGCACCTGATGACAACAGCTATACAGCGCCGAATACAGTTGTCTCATTACTATTGACCGGACATTCTCCTACGAAATGCTGCGGGGAAAAAAAGCCAACTATACCTACTTCTGTCAAATGGTCAAGTTCATCGATGACTTCTTCCTCTTCAACGAAGTCGTTGCAGAAGCCAGCCGCCGGAGCAGTGGTAGCCGTACTTGACCATGACATCGGTACCGCGGCTTCTGAATGAGCATATTTTAAAAAGAGCCTCACAACGATTACCGTCTCGTCGATGCGGATGGGGGATGGGTGTCAGGAGGGTTTGGCACGGCGCCAAAATTGTTCTTCACCAGTTGTTGAAGCGGGAAGCGACAAGACTGCATCAGTCGCACTTGGGCACTAGTTCGTATCAGTCGTTTTTCTCAAATTGTTTTCCCTTACTCTCTTCAGCAACTGGTAGAGAACGAGTAGGCACCAACTCAGCCTTGAAGACACGCCCCATCACCCGCAGCGAACAGGACTACTTGTAGCAGCTGTATTGTACACCGTGTTCAAAAGATCTGAGGTGATATAGTTCAAGAAGGCCGCAATATAAGCCTGCTACGCTGGAGATAGAAGGGGATTATGGATGAGAATCAGGGAGCACACTGCGAGGAAGCATACTTATCAATGTAGGGAAAGCCAGAGAATGTGGGCGAAAAAGATTACACTCTACTTCGCTGCGGACGGTTGGGCGTGTCAGCCAGTATGAGTGTGCACAGCGTTGAGGCCGTTCTCTGCCTTCTTGTTGAAGCGCGCATGCGACAAAAAGTGGTAGAAAACGAGTAATACGAACGATATGATACAGTCATATCATTTGTTCGCAAAAAAACTGGTGGCACCGCGCCAAACGCAGTACTATATATACGTGCACTCGGTTCGCCCGCTTTATTGCTCCAAAGAGGCGGAATCGTCACGTCAATACGTCAATTTTGCTCGCGTGAGATAGGAATACAGTGGGGCGTCGTCAGCGGAGTTGAGGGAGGCTGCGGTCTGCGACGAAACGCCTACCCGTACCCCAGTAATGCCGGAGCGAACAAGCCACAAACAACTGGCGGAAAACAGGTTGGGGTCTCGCCAAGCCCAGTGCCGCAACGAACAAGACTATCTGTTTTTTTTTTGTAGATCCTACGGTTTATCAAATCAATGCGAGTTTCTCTTTTCCGCAAACTACCCGATTTCCTCAGCTACACGCTCTCCGTTCCTCAGATGGCAAAAGTAATGAATGCCGCCTAACTTCGAGGAAAAACCACAATCGAACAGACCTCCGTCTTCCTCAGTGGGTGAGTTCGATTCGTTGTCTCCTGTAGCGCAATCTTCTGTTCCATTGGCGTTTCCGTCTTCCTCACGCTTCTTTTTCCGTTCTAAAAAGGCAATGATAAATACAAATAGATTCAAAAGGAATACAAAGGAACAAATGCTCACTTTCACACTCGTATGAGCCTTGGACACGTTTCCGTCTATTTACTTCCTGCGCTTTGATGCCCTCTTCTATCGAACTGCGCAGAGCGTCCATATTCGTTTGAGCTGCGAATTTCTCCGAGGCAACGGACTGAAGGTCTTCGTATGTCTTACGGTCGGGCCAGATCTGAAATAGTCATTATTATGCTACGATAAAAATAAACTGAAAACTGAAATGGAGAGCCATTCAAAATTGAACGCTGTTTGGTTTGGAAGAGGCAGCATGCAGTTTTCCTAGCTCACTTGCTAGATCCTGTCAAATAACACGTCACATCTTGATGACACATCCTGTCAAATAACACGTCATAGCTTGATGAGACCTGTTGAGATTTGTCAGTGTGAACGAAAGTACTACTACTGCTGAGATTTACAAGAGTACACAAGCCAGTATACAAGTCTCTACAGCAGGAATCAGCAGTGGTTGATGGGAACCAGCAAATGCCCCCGTCAAGCCAGACTGCGCCCAGTATCACGAAATTATGAGCAGTTTTCATGAAGGTGAGTCGAAATTCCGCTACAATACACGGACAATACGAAAGGTGAAGTTGACAAAATCTTAACATCTGGCAATATTTGTTTTATTCAAGGTTCATTGTTGTGCATTTCCAAAATTACAGTATTTACAACGTTGTTACCTTTGCGATAAGTGAATCAAAGTTTGGATCCGGTCTGAGGGATCGCTTTGAGACCAGCTTTTTACGGCATGTAGGGCACTCTTTATTTCCTCGAAAAAGAGCAGTTGTAATGCACTCAGCGCAGAATCGATGAAGACATTCCTGAAGAGGAGTAGTGAAGCTATAAGATTGGAAAGAAGCTTAAAACTGACAGGTTTTTAAGGGTCAAATTGCCTACAGTTATTGCATTAAAAAAAGATAAAAAGGGAAGAAGAGTGCAGTAACAACTTGGAACACAGCACGTGGAAGGCCTCCTGTCTGAGAAAAGCGAAAGAAAAGAAAAGTCTTGTGTTTTTGAATGGTCTGCAATGCTGCTAAGATTGCTAAACCGCTTGCAAGAAAGTGTTGCAAAGAATATGAAATGTTCTTCTCTACCCGAAATGTTTCAATCTCCCGACCGAGGTCTATCCCATGCGCCACTCTGTCTTCTTGCTAAGCGAGTCTGGAGTGCACTATAAGTGTCAAAGTAATTCTGTTCCGAATTCCGAATCTGTTAATTGCTACTTTCACTTTCTCTCGCTGACCAAGCGAGCAGTTAAAACTACCCATGAAACGCTCGAAACGCTGCGGCAACCCAGAAGTTTGACGCAAAGTATGAACGCACTCAAAGGGTGTCAGCTGGAAACTACTTGAACTTACCTTTGTAGTCATCGTCTGAGTAAGTAAATCGAGGCAGATCGGACAACTCAGTTCCGTGGACAGAGTTCCAGCTCGTAATCGAAGCTCAGTGTTGTCTGCCAGGGATTTATGAGGGGTGCGTATCTGAAAAAAATTAGGAAGATTGTATAACATAGCGCATCTTCACCAGCTACAATTCGACATCGGCGACAAAATACAGAGTGATCGATAAGTATAAACGCGCGCAAAACCGTTGCCCTTTCATGAAGGGTCACTTCTCCGAGGTTTTCTTAGTTTAGAGTAGAAAACATGAACGCAACCACGTCTATAACAAGCATATGCATATGAGCTGCTTGTCTGCGGGACTGATGTGAATGATAAAGTAAAAGGGCCGGCAAATGAATAGACAAACAAATATCGCTTATGATTTTTGATGCAGTGCTTTGAAAAGCAGTCACAATTGCAAATGCATAAATTGTCGGTGGTCCGATTGTTGGCATTTATAAACGCTTTCATTTGCTACATTTAAATAGAATACCAAAAAGAAACTCACCCGATCATAGTCGTCCAACGAAAGCTCTTTGCCCTCTGCATTAGCCGAGGAAAATGGGAGATTGTTCATGCCGCACAATAGTGCTTAAAGCACCAAAAAGCACGAGATCTGCAATAAATATTCGTCAATAAATAAGTGACCAGTTCAGTCACATAGCGCGGCGCATATAAGGCCCTCATAAAAAATGAGGGCACTATTTACCATTTACTGCCCCAATCTTCCAAAACAGGCCAGTTTCTGACCGACTTTTTTGGCAGAATTGGTTGAAAATTGGTATCCTAAGGCAGTTTGACCTCCTGAACATGAATATCACATCCGCTCGGCACGAAACCTCATGGCGCCCGCGGCACAGGCGGCTGGAAACTTGTTCTCAGGGGTAGTTTGACCTCCTAAACACGAATATCACATCCGCTTGATACAAAAACTCCTGGCACCCGAGCTAAGTTTCGGGCTAAGCGAACATGATATTCGTATTTAGGAGGTCAAACTACTCCAGGAGACAACATTTGAGCCAAATCTGTCCACTGGAGAAAAAAGTCGGTCAGAAACTGGCTCAATTCTGGATGGTTGCGGCAGTAAAGGGTAAATAGTGCCAAATTGAGCCTTCACAACTTTTTTTGTAACCGTAAGGATAAATCAAAAGAAAATTCACGAAGCGGACGCGCTTGACGTCATGGCGGCTGTCAATAACCGGTCTACTCCCCTAATGAGCAGCTCAAAATGATCTTTACAAAACCCTCAATGTTTCCCGACTTCAGTTTTTATTTGCGGAGCGGAGCACTTCACAATTACCTTCAATCTATTCGATTTGTGAAAGCAATTTATCAGACAGAAGTCAGACAATAAAAACAAGAATTCATTTAAGTTCCTATAGTTTGCTTGAATTAAGTGAAAATAGAGCATTGGAATATGTTAAACGAAGGTTAAACAAGTGGAACCACAAAAATACTTGCCGCGTCGCGATCGAGTCGTTCAAGTTGCCCTCTCGACCCGTTTTGCACTGGAATTGGAATTGGTCGTCTGGGGAGTCATCGGCAACTGCTTCTCTGCCAAACGTCCGATGAGTTCCTTTCTACGCTTAGATTCAGCTCGTTCTATTCCTTTAACAAGGTTTCTTCCATTCATTCGAATCTGAATTGGTTTAAAAGGATGTGCGACATTCGTTAGAGAAATCTCAAGAAAAAAATATCCGCAGTCCGAATGGATGAGTTGAGTTTTTACAGGACACTTTCACAAACATGTATATCACACATCTTTAAAGGAGCTTATCGAGATTTCTTATTAGATGTACATTGTGCTTCATTCTGTACCGATACGGCGACGGGCATTTTCGCCGCTTTTGCCTACTCATCGACCGTTGTCGCTATCTTACAAGACGTTGACAATCGTGTCTACAAAAAACTTGGGCTGCGTATCATCTTTGTGGCTTCACAAATTCACAGGGCTCCACTCGACACGTGATAAGGCCGAAATAGCACATCCTAAAAATTCCCCCCCCCCCCCTCCTCCTCCTCGCCGAAACGGCTGCTGTTAACGTTTTCAAAGGCAAAGAATCGGCATTCGTTGTCCAAGTGCGCGCGTTATTATGCGCAATGCACAGCACGTCGTGTTTGTGCCGGGATTTGCAGCGAGGGAGCGTCTGCCAGCGAACGTACACGGAGTATAACCTAAGACGTGGCCTGTATTCTAGATTTCCCCATACCACCCCCACCCTCCGGGTCAGGTTTCAGGGAAAACTGGGGAATCGGGAGCAAAAGCCTCGGGAAAGCAAGTGGAAGTGGAAAAGAATTAAGAAGTTACGTAGAATTGGGATGGCAAGGGAGCGTTTAGTGTCCCCTGCAAAAATCTCCCTACCATCATCAAAGATTTGCCCTGGGTGGATACGAAGAAGTCCTATTTCAGCGTTTCTAAAAAAAGGTTCTTTCGGGCAAGGTGCAGCTTCGTTGAGAGAATTCCACCGGGGAAAGGTGTGGTCGCCCTGGTCGCAAAACTACTCCGTAAGTACAATTTCTCATGGTTGATTTGAGGACACCCTCCTCCACACCCTCGCGTTTACAAGAAACTCGTGGAATGAGGAAGAAAAGATAGAGAAGACGACAGCTCAGTTCTTCTATACCCTCTGCACCCTATTTGTAGAGGCCGTAAATTGAGGACGAATAGTTGTTTTGTTGCCTCGTTTTTCTCCTTTTCTTTTCTAGAGCTCTTAACCTCAACGCGCGGCATAGAACAGGAGCGGATTTGTGCAGGTAAATCCTTCGTTTTCAGGGTGGTGCTATGACAGACACCTCAAGAAAACACTGATCAGACACTGTTTTCACAATTTTTAATGCGTTTTAGGCGGAGAGGACAGCTGGAAGAGATGTTCGTCATAAGCAGTCGTGAGTTACGACAAGTGCTTTCCTTTATGTTGGCTTCTGCCACGAAAGACCTAGACTTTAAGAACAGTCGAGAGGCGTTAGAACTATATGGTAAAGACTTTGGCCGGGAGGGAGCTGGAGGTGTTCATTGATAGTTAAACCCGCGTATGCCGACTTTTTTTTTGAATCGTAGGGTGCTGGAGGAGCAAAGATGAGCGGCGGCAAAAAGAAAGTTGACTTGAAGGACACTTGCCCGGTAATGCTGGTGGGCGAGCTAGAACAACGTTATTGTGTGTGGCCTCATCGCCTTTCTGCATTTCCAGTGAATCTAGCATAAGTGCGCTATTCTAGATGGTAAATAAGCGTTGCACTTAATTGGCGACTGAGGATCCGTTTCTCCCCCACCCTTAGGCGTAACCCAACCCGTAACCATCTTTGTAGTTTGTTGGGCGTGCTCAGACGGGATCGAGTTTGGCGCGGTGCGACCGTTTCTCCACCAGTATGTTAGAGAGAGCACGTTGAATAACTGTATCAATCTGTTCCTTTACTCGTTTTTTTTTTTCCTCTACCACTTTTTGTCGCATGCGCGCTTCAACAAGAAGGCAGAGAACGGCTTTGACAGTGTGACACACTCATACTGTCTGACACGCCCAACCGTCCGCAGCGAACTAGAGTGTATGTTGGTACTGATAGTCTACTTAAGGGTTCTGTGTATGGTATCCTTAGACTCACCCTCACCTAAGCCCGTTATTTTGACAGTATACGTGAACCCGCTTTTAGAAGCCTTGATTTGATGAGACCGAACTACAGAAATGTGTAATTCTGAGGTACGTGAACGCTGGGAGGAGAGAATGGAGATGGCATTGTTCACAGTCTGCGACCCAGCGTTTCTCTAGAAAGAAGCGGTTCGGCGAAAAGCTTTCGATACGTATCGATTGGCGGTTGGGCGAAGAGTCTGGCGGTTGGGCGAAACAGTTTTGATACGTATCGACGGGCGTTTCGCCGAACCGCGGCGTTTTTCGCCTTCGCGAAACGCTAGCTCGACCGCCCTGGCGTTTTTCGCCAGCAAAATCGATACGCATCTATTGCTTTTCGCCCAACCGCCGTTTCGTCAGGGTCGCAGACTGTGAACAATACCTATAGGAGATTACCCTGCGTTCGGCTAAGACTGAGCCTTAGGGAGAAAAAGGGATACAGACGAGCGTACCTCTCCCGGACTACGTTGACATCAGGAACCTACTTTTTGAGAAGCAAGCACACCGTCAAGGCATTCGTTCGGGTGAATTATTGCATTCAATTTTATGTACTGTTCAGGTGTCTTGTCAAATATATTTGGACGTTTTTGGCGTCCTCAAAGCACCTCAGAACCGGAGACGTCTGGTGCAACGAAGTTCTACCTTGATGATGGTTCAACGAATGATGAGAAAGAAGATGTAATGACTGGCGATCCACAGAGTGGTGATGCCCCAGGCGAGGATCGAAGAATAGCAGTAGCAATATCTCTGTAATGAACACTGGATTTCTTGAGTAGTCTCTTATCAGTATTTTCTCCAGGTTTTTCAGAATGCGCCTCAATTACGGGGGAATGGTAAGGATGTGAATACTCGACTTTCTCCTTCTCCAAGTGGCAGTGAGCTTGTATTTGTTAAAGAGTTTCAAGGAAAAATGTTCCTTTCTAGGAGAAATACTCGTTTGGAAATCTAATTCTCACCAGAAAGTTTGACGATTAAAACTCCTAGTTTGGTCTATGATAGTAATCGTCAGCGTTTAGACAGCCTTGACAGCGATGGTAAGCAAGCGAAATTTTCGGAGAAATTGGCCAGTATGTTCAAAGCTGGAGCTAAGCCAGGACTTATAGACTATAATAGGAGCAACTTCCGTAAGCTTATATTCTTCTGGAATGATCGTTGCTTTTACAAGTTTTCAATTTGTAGGACAGTACTGGATGCCTGATTCCACTGGCAAGGAATGCTATCAGTGTGAAGAACGCTTTTCCACGTTTAGGTATGGCCTTCTGATTTTTTTCTTCTTAATTTCAGAATCTTCTTGCTATCCTTATCCAATATTGACAGGAGGAGACATCATTGCCGCCTTTGTGGGCAGATATTCTGCGCGAAATGTTGCAACATTCATGTACCAGGATCTGCTTTAGGTACGTCGTTTAGTAGCAGTTATGAAGCTCCTCTACAAACAAACATCTCACTGAGCATGAAGAAATAGCAGAACATGCTCCCACAACGGCACGTCCACGCTGGGGATCCCCAGCGAGGATGGAGTATTGACGCCCGCGGCCGCTCAGCGGTAGCTCCTCCCGGAAAAAGATAAAATTCTTGCAGATTTTCAGCAAAACTACACTGAAATGCGGTAGCATATGAGTTTGGAGAATTCACGGAGATGGTAGGGTGATGAGGATGGGGGAGGGGTCGTACAAAGGGACAATTAGTTCCGAGGGTGTCGTTTTTTGCAGAAATTTTCACCACTAGAGGTACCCTGTTTTCCAGTAAGATTCGCCTTGTGGTCAGTTGAAATGTTGTCGGCTATTCTGAACTGCTATCGTAATCTGATTGTTCTTTTTGAGTTATCGTCATCTCAGGGTACATAGGAGACCTGCGCCTTTGTCATTACTGCGCAAAGATGATGGCACAATATCTCCCAAATGAACAGGAACGTCGTCAGTCAATTGAAGACCTTGATAACAGCAGTCCAGCGAGTGCATCTCCAGCACGTCAAGGAGATTCGGTAGCTGCGGTGGGATCGACAATTTCCACGGTGTCATCAGGTAATTTTGACTTCCTTTCGTTGCCTAACTATATTTCCATCTGTAGGAGCCTATGTCTTTAGGTACTATGCTATGGACTGGACAATCTGGTATTGGTACAACTTTGGATAACAAAGAAACCTCGTTCACTCAGTCCACGGGAAAACCTCCGTCTCTTTTGTGTGTGAATGAACTATACCTCCAGCATGAAAATCGACCCGAAGCAGAGGTATTGAGCTTCTGGAAACCACTGGTCACCTTTTTGAAATAACTTCGAAATGTGGTGATTATTGCAGGACAATATCAGAAGCAATCTCCAAGAGGAAGAAGACTCTGGTCCCGACTGGTTTCGCAACATGGATCCTGACACACTTGTTCCAATTAAAGATGATAATGTGAGTTACTCGATGTGAAAGTTGATAAATTAGCAGTGGATGGGATTTATTCCAATGTTTCGACCAAAGAAAAGCTTGGAAGAACGTTAACAAGATGATACGAGAGACCACACAGTCAAATAAATAAATAAAGAAATATAGAAAGA